AATGATGGCTATCAAAAGAGAGGTCCAATTTGAGGGAGTGGCCATACTTCTCCTCCACTATAAATAGCCAATGATGGCTATCAAAAGAGAGGTCATGAACTCTTGATTAAGACCGAACCTATTTGGCTCCTTGGCAATCAGTTCTCTTAAGCTCTAAGAGAATCGAGCCTGGCTCTTTGCATTGTTCTTGCACTGTAGCATCTCCTTCTAGCTCCGGGCCTTGATCGCTATTGAGCTCGGACACTCGAACTCGACCAACACGAGCTTCCACTACATACTGAAGCTCACCTGCAACCTCGATCGAATCGTCCAAGGAAAACAAACTCGGTGTGAGAACTGAGCAAGGCATCCTATTACTACCAAAGACCCCACGTTAAACAAGGAGGGCCTTCCCTCTGCTTTTGTCATAATTTTGATTCATTAGTTTGTAATAAGCTATTCTTATCAATACAAACGAGATCTCCGTTTCGGGAAATCAAATTTTACTCCTACAGGTATCTACAACTTGAGACATATGGTATATACATGAGGGTTTCCTTGTTTGGATTATTTTGTTTGACGTACTACATCTCATTTGTAGGTGTCTAAATATTAATTCCATTAGATACGGAGAAAATGATCTAGGTAGACTATGCTGAATAGGTAGAGCCTCCACTTTATCTAGCAGCCCTTCCTCTAGGAACGGATGGAGGTGATCTTGCTGTAGCACTCTGACACTCTTGTTGTTGTTTTTTTTATTTAAATTATCTTTTTTAAGTAGCTCAGAGTTTCGGAGAGCCATAGGATGATAGAGTTCTAGCATAGTCGTCGTCACACAGTCTTAGTAGCTGTAGATCCATCGTATAGTTACATTCATTGTTCAGACTTTAGAGTTGTATTCATAAAGGTAGAGTGCCTTAGTATGAGATTTAGTTTATTCATGTTGAGACATTTTATAATTTTAGATATCAGATGTTCTTCAGTTGAGACATGATTCTTTTATTTATGAGATCTCTCCTTCTTTATCATGTCTATTGTTTTTACTTCTTCCTTTTGCCTGTTTTGTACCCTTACTTCTTATTGATTCTACTAGAGGATATTACTGTGATTGGTGAAATGTGTTAATGCGCTGTGTGGGTATATGGTAGGTTTGACAATCCGAGTTTTACCTTGGACTGCAGCCTTGTGTGAACCCTGGGGCATCACAGAAACCCACAACACAAGAATTAGTACGTCGAGCGAAATAATCCAAACAAGGAAACTCTCATGTATATACTATGTCTCAAATTGTTGATTGCTAAATATCAATTCCAATCCTATTAATGAAAAGCAATACATGAAGAAAAATACTCTAAACCTCTACTAAAAAGAACCAATGTCACATATCGAACTATCCTCGGGTAGTTAGCGCAGTCACAAAAAAATATCACCATAAGCCATATCATATATGTCATATATCCAAAATATACCCCACACTTGGGTAATCTAACATAGGAGCAAACTACAATTGTGTTAGTGGTTATGCCCTAGGCCAAATATTTAGACCTTGATGTAATGATTATATTTTCATTTAAAGAATGGTTTTCTCCACATTAGTATTATTGGCATGTTACTTTATTATAATGTTTATGAATAACTATGTTATTCATGTTATACCTAGTTATTTATCACTAAAGGGCATAAAGATAAATTAAGACTAGTATGGGTTTTGATTGATAAACATGAGATAATTATATATGGTAATATAAATCAAACCTTTAGGTACTTGTTAGAGAATAAGGCACTGGATAGACCCACTATGAGATTACTACATGGGTTAGTGTCATAAGTGATCTTATAATAGTTATGTTATCGAATCCTTAGACATGAGATTATCACAGATTCCTACATGAGGAACATCGTGTTTTAACATAATCAAACATTATCTTTAATCGGATAATCATAAAGGTTATGATTGGACATGATGAGAATTATACAGAGGATAGTGAATAATAAAGATGGAATTTGTCCCTCTTATGAGAGAGATATCTATTGGGCCCCTCGATAAGTAGGACTGAGAAATGCATGGTCATGCTAAAATAAATTAATAGTGTAATCAATATCATTTGAATTATCAGTCTACTTAGTGATCGAGAATTATATGTTTGAACAATATAAGTTTGATATGTACCATGACTTATGTTCAAACAAGATATCATGTGACAAAAGGGTTATAACATGTACTATTGGTTAGGTTAAAATCGGACTATCGATATTTATATTATTTGGGTAGTCATAATGTCTTGCTAGAGGCCACTTATGACTTGTGGGTTTATAATGGGATTGGGCCCACTGCTAACATAATATTAATCTATTGGGTTGTACACAAAGAACGTGATGAACGCGCTAGGATTTCTTTGAGCAATTTCGAATTTTAAATGTAAAATTCAAAATAAAAATCTATTATTTTTGAGATATTTTAGAGATAAAATATAATTTCTTATTATCTGAATAAGAAACAAATTTCTGTTATTTTGAATAAGATATCCACAAAATATCTCTCTACATGTTAGGGTTAACGTGGCTATAAATAGACTTTTGTGATGCCCTGATTTGATAATCTCTCATAAAAAAGAAAACCCCTAGCCGACGCAGAAAGGAGCTAGCACCCCTGCATCCGTTTGTGATCGTTCGTGTGTGGATTCTGATAGAGGGCGTTCGTTCCTTGAGCAGCACCTAGAGTCCAATCGAATTAAGGTGTTAATTCGGTAATCTGCGCACGAACATGTTCGTAATGTTAAACTCTTTTTGAATCAATTGGATCGCATGGATCCTGTTTGGGTTTTATTTTAATTTTTGCTGCATGATTAATTTTGAATTATATGTATATAACCCAACAAACTGTGTGTATATGTCTTTATTACATAACGATACTTTTGTAAGGTTCTCACATTCATATGTGGATTTCAACGTCCTTACTCAATCGTTCTGCTGTAATAGGTTTTTATCTCCCCTATTCCGGATGATGCATCCAGATGATCATACCGCAGAATAAAGGCATATCAGCCCAATCCAAAAACACATTGATCATCTTCGAGTATTGGTACCGTCGATGTCTCATTACGGGATAATATCCAAATACTCTTAGTGTGGTGCTGCCGAGGTCTTTTTACGGGATAAACGTCCACACCGAAACATCCCCAATAGATAAGTATGCATTATCATGTGTTATATCAACACCTATTAACTCAAACATAGATTGTGCATCTCCACTATGCAAAAATATTTATTTAAGAACATAGATCAAGCATTAGTGCACGTATCTCAATGTGCGTGCTAATATTTCATGTTCACAAACACCTATGGTGTTAAATAGTTCATAAACATCATATTACATCTCAGATAGATCAAGAAAATTTCTCAAAGACATCAAACATGAGTCGAAACATACACAGGCTCGGATTTGCCTGGCGGTCGACCGCGCCTTATGTGGCGGTCAACCAACCCGAGGTCCTCAGCCTACTTATTGTAGGTTCGTGTTTGTTTGTGTTTCATGATTCTAACTTATTTAAATCATTGTAAATCTTGTATAGAACGTTGCAAATACTAAATTAACATCTTTGAAGATTATTCAACACATGAAACAAGAATCACAGCATTAAATATTACATGTAAAACCTAAACATGCATGAAAACATCAAAACGTCGATAGAATCATCAAAACTAAGTTAAACCACATTGTTATTTACTTTTAGATCTTAAATCAATTCTAAAAATTCGTTCTTAAGCTTTTAAACATAGAAAGCTCTGATCTTTATTCATATAATATAAAATAATTGCTTTTATACTCAAACTAGTCGATTTGGTTCAATAAAATCACATAAAAACCCATTAAAAACTTTTTAAAACTTGGGTGTAGGGTTAGCAGAGATGAAACTCGCCTGAATACTTGGTTGAAAGCCTGAGAGTACAATGCCAAAGCAAATCCTTAATCCACACGTCAACAAAACTCGCCTACACGTCGAAAATTGCTTTACAAAGCTCTTGGAAACTCAAAAATTTGATCTAGGGTTTTGGGGAGGAAAAGGTGGCTGCTAGGGTTTGAAAGATCTGATATCATATGTGTAAAAAGGTGAAAAAGAGGTTTATATAATTCTGTGTCCAACTGGGCCTCAAAAGAACCCGTTTCGAAAACAGACTGAGAAAACTAGAAAATCGATCGGCGGTCGACCGAACCTTGTGCATCGGTCGACCGAGCAGTAACTTTTCTGTTTGTGTAGGTTTCTTGGCTTCCGAACCTTGTGCGGCGGTCGACCGAGCAGTAACTTTTCTGTTTGTGTAGGTTTCTTGGCTTGTGCATGTTTCGAATCGATTCTTTCATATGTATGAACTCATTTACACTAAAAATACTTGGCATCATACTCATACATCATTTAATGATATTTATCATGATAAATATCCATTTATCATGATAAATATCCATTTATCACGATAAATATCCATTTATCACAATTAATCACTTATTATTTCAAATTATCACTTATAAACTCAAATATATAGGGTTTTATATTCACCCCACCTTAAAATAATTTCATCCTCAAAATTCCGCAATCACATCTTAAAGATTAATAATACGAGAAAAGCACTAAGAGGGGATAATCCAGATAAGGAAACCCTCTCCACATCTCATACCATTAATCCCCAAATGTGAAACATAAGCAAATATTTAAACTTAACAATCTAAAATGCGTATACTCCCACTTAACCCCTAATTAGACTGAACTAGTAAGTCGGGCGAAAAATCCAAACAAGGAACCCCCCATATATATACCTTATATTCTGAATGATTAGGAGCTAAGTGTTAGTACCCCATTCTAGTGTTAAATATAAATGTGGCTGAATAATATAACGTAAATAGAAATGAGTATAAGCATACTCAAACATCAACATCTTACCTGTTAAAATAGGTGTGGGTAGTCGCGACGTACGTCCTCCTCGCACTCCCAAGAAGCTACTTTGGCTCCTTGCCAGTTCCACTGAACTTACACTAATGGAATAACTTTGTTTCTAATCTTTTTAGCCTCTCTAGCAAGAATACAAACCAGAATCTCTATGGTAGTCAAATCATCCTTGATCTCAATCTTTAGTGCATCAATCACTCTTTGCTGCTCCTCGTCGCGCAAATGCTTCTTGAGCATCGAAACATGAAAGACATCGTATACACTTGACAAAGATGTTGGAAGATCTAATCCATAAGAAATAGCTATAACATGCTTAATAATCCTGATTGGACCAACATATCTCTGGGCAATCTTTTCCCATCTAACGAATTGCTGAACGCCCTTCATCGGCGATACTTTAAACATGACAAGGTCTCCAACCTGAAACTCTAGAGGTCGTCGCTTCTGATCCGCATAGCTCTTTTGCTAACTCTGAGTAGGAAGAATATGCTTTCTAATCAATGCCATCTTCTCTGTGGTTTGTCTCACAAGCTCCGGCCCAAGCAATAGGCTATCCTCTGGTTGTGCCCAACAAATAGACGATCTGTAAGGCCTACCGTACAATGCTTCATATGGTGCCATACCAATGGTAGATTGATAACTATTATTATAAGCAAATTCAATTAATGGAATGTGATCCTCCCAGCTACCCTGGAAATCTATAATGCATGCTCACAGCATATCCTCTAACACCTAATTCACTCTCTCTGTCTGACCATCCGTCTGAGGGTGGAAAACGCTACTGAATGACAACTGGCTGCCGAATGCATTCTAGAAACTCCTCTAGAAATGGGATGTGAAGACCGAGCCTTGATCTTATACAATCATCGTTGGGACTCCATGCAATCGAACCCGGATAAAAATCCTCGTATACGTCTCTGATGTATAAGTCGTCTTCACCGGTAAGAAGTATGTTGACTTTGTCAACCGGTCTACTATCACCCAAATAGAATTATTTCCTTTCTTTGATCTAGGTAACTCTATGATAAAATCCATAGAAATATCTACCCACTTCCACTCGGGAATGGATAAAGGCTGTAGGGTTCCTGGAGGTCTCTGATGTTCTGCCTTAACTTGCTGACAAGTAAAACACTTCGCCACATACTCTGCAATCTCTCTACGTATGCCACTCCACTAAAAATGCCTCTTCATGTCCTTGTACATTTTCATTGTGTCTAGATGCACTGTGTACCTAGTGCGATGCACCTCATCAAATAAATCCTTCTTCAGCTATGAATTGTTCGGCATGATAATCCGGCCCTTCATCCGAAACCCTCCATCTGCTCCAATAGTCCAATCAACATTGGGTTCTTTGGAATTCCCCTTTCAGGTTTGAATCTAAGAATCTTCTAGCTAAGCTCTGACCACTCGATCACTCCAAAATGACTGTACTGATATAGCTCCTAAAAATGCACTACTCCCGCTAATCTCCGACCTAAAATTATAGCGGCTGAGGGTGTAAAGATCTCGATGTAATGAACACCTCAAAGCTATAAGTCAGTAACGATGCTTCCTACTTAATGCGTCTGCTACTACATTCGCCTTTCTCAGATGGTACTGAACTACAAACTCATAATCTTTTATAAACTCGACCCATCGCCATTGTCTCTGGTTAAGTTCCTTCTGTGAAAAGAGGTATTTTAAACTTTGGTGATTAGTAAATAGCTCGAACTACACTCCATACAAATAACGCCTCTAAGTCTTTAGTGCAAAGACCACTGCTGCTAGCTCCAAGTCATGCATTGGGTAATTTTGCTCATGAGTCCTCAACTATCTTGAAATATAGGCTACAACTCTTTGGGTCTGCATTAAAACACCTCCAAGACCCGATAACGACGCATCAGCATAGACAACAAAAGTTTTGTCACTGCTTGGAAGAATCAACACCGGCACTGAAGTTAACTTAGCCTTCAAAGTCTCAAAGGCCTCCTGGCACTCTGTGCCTTAAACAAACAGTACACCCTTCTTTGTAAGGTGTGTAAGTGGCATCACAATCTTCGAGAAATCCTGAATGAATTTCCTTTAATAGCCTGCCAGACCTAAAAAGCTACGAATCTCGGTAACGGTCTTCGGTAGCTCCCAATTAAGAACGGCCTCCACCTTAGTCGGATCTACTACAATGCCTTACCAGCTGATAACTTGGCCTAAAAATCTGACCTCGGATAACCAAAATTTACACTTGCTAAATTTAGCATACAACTGGTGCGCCCGCAAAGTCTGTAGTGTCAACCGTAAATGCTGCTCATGCTCAGCATCCGATCTTGAATAAATATGAATGTCATTGATGAACATGATCATGAACTGGTCCAAGTATGGATGAAAAACCCGATTCATCAAATCCATGAATATCACGGGTGTATTGGTTAGCCCAAATGGCATGACAAGAAACTCGAAAAACCCATATCAAGTTAGAAAGATGGTCTTGGGAATATCCATCTCCCGGACCTGCAACTGATGATAACCGAAATGAAGATCTATCTTTAAGAAACACTATGTTCCTTACAACTAGTCTAACAAGTCATCAATCCTCGGTAGTGGATACCTATCTCAGATGGTAACTTTGTTTAACTCACGATAATCTATACACAATCGCATGCTCCCATCCTTCTTCTTCACGTAAAGGATCAACGCTTCCCACGGAGAATGACTCCAATGAATGAAACCCTTAGATAATAACTCATCTAACTGGATCTGGAGCTCCCTCATCTCAACAGATGCCATACGATAAGGTGCTCGGGAGATCGGTACGGTGTCTGGCTGCAACTCTATGCAAAACTTGACCTCTCTCACTAGAGGTAAACTTGGTATATCCTGGAAGATATCGTAATACTCTGAGACCACTCGCGTCTCTCTCAAATATGCACTCTAATCTCACAACATCACCTCCTCGACGTATGCCAAAAATGACTCTCCAATATGGTTGCCCCGCGAGGTCGCTATCACCAACTCAAATCCATCAAAAGCTCATAAGATGACTGTTTTCGCAAAATAGTCAATACTCAAATGGTAGGAAGATAACCAATCCATACCAAGGATAACATCAAACTCAGACATACGTAACACAATCAAATCAATCACAAATTCGAAATCATCTAAGATGACAACACATCTCCTACAAACACTCTCTAAGAGAGACACCTCTCCTAAAAGAGTAGATACAGATAACATGATATCTAAAGGCTGTGCTACAAGCTGAAGACTACTCATAAAATCATAGGAGATGAAAGAATGAGAAGTGCCAGAATAAAAAAGAATATGGGCTGGAAAGGAGTTCACAAGGAACGTATCTTCCACTGCGGCCCCGCTCGCGTCATGATCGCGAGGAACAACTACATAGACTCTGCTGGTAGCCAAAGGCTGCTACGCCGCATCGCCTTGAATGTATGAGACTATCTATCCCTGTTGAACCTCCTGAATAGTTCGCACCTATCCCTCAATCCTCGGGACTGTTGGAGGTGCCTTAATCCTCAATTGTTGGCCCTATCCTCAGCCCTGAGCATGGTTTTGCTGCTGCTGATTCTTGCCCTGCTGGCCTGCTGTGGATGCGCTATGGCACTCTACTACTCTGTGTCCAAACTTATTGCAGTTGAAACAAGTCCCCTAAAATCTGCACTGCTGCTACACCCTCTATTCCTATTGATGTCCATTCTTATGGAGACCCTACTGATATGGACCCTTACCCTGCTGCTGAGGTCCTCCTAGTCTTGCAAACGACCTCTTACCTTTACCTTTGTCACCGGGTTGTCCTGACTTGGCGTTCCCATCCTTGCTCTTCTGAAACATGACCGCCTTTGTCTCCTAAAATATGGTGACATCGGCCACCTCCTGCACTGAATGAAATCTCCTCGACATAAGATAACGATGCAAACTCGGGCGAAGCCCCATCAAGAACATATGAGCCTGCCGCTCATCGGTGTGCCACATGTCCGTGAATCTAAGTAATGTCATAAACTTACTCTCAAAATCCATCACAAACATATCCCCCTGCTCTAACCGAGCTAGCTCCAACTCCTTCCCGACTTTAGTTGCAGCCAACACATACTATTCGTCGAAGAAATAAACAAAGGTCTCCCATGAAACCGTCATCCTCTGTTCAAGAGTAAATCTGAGTCGATACCATCCTCCTGCATCCCCCTTGAGTCTGAAAGCTGCTAGCCTCTACTTCTGCACAGTGTTCACATTAAGCATATCCAAGATGTTACTCACATCTTCCTTTCACTTGTGTGCAGCAATAGAATCTGATGAGCCATGAAATTCTGGTGCCTTCATCTTCTGGTATTTCTCTACCAGACGAAGCTAAGTCTCCTGCTCAGTAGCTCTATCATCTATTGATGGTGGTGGGGTATCTATCGGTGTCTCTTTCGGTGTTTCCTCTGGAATGGGTGTCTCATGCTGAGCCTGATTTGCCAACTGCTCCTCAATCGCTACCAGTCATGCTGCCAAATGTGCTATGAGATCCACTAAGTACTGCGGAGCCTGCTGCGACTCGAGCTCCCCATCAGCTTCCTTAGCTCCCTGAGCATGAGTACCTCTACGACCACATTCTCTTCCTGACATCTATAAGTTTAGGAGTTGGGCTTGTTAAACACAATAAATAGGATCTCAGGCATAAAATAAAATATATATCAATAGGAAAATAGTATCACTTATCATTCACCGCATGCTTTAGACTTCAAAGCAAATAGTTCATCATAATTTTTTTGTAATTTTCGTTTATATATATAATGTCCTCACTTATACTAGGAATTCCTAACAGACTCTATACATGATTCCTAGAAAACTCTATCCTAGCTCCACAATATGACACAGAGATAATCCTAGGGATATTAGAACTAAAGCTCTGATACCAACTATGATGCCCTATGGTTCACACAAGGCTGCAGTCCATGGTGAATCCCAGAATGTCAAACCCACCATGCACTAACACCGTCCAACAACATGTTTCACTATCACAGTTACTATCCCTCTAGAAGCATCAATAAATAGGTGTAGGTACAAATAGACAAAAAATAGTAAAATAGTACAATGAATAGATTAAACACAAAAGAAATGTAAAATAACCCTTATCAGGGTCCAACTGAAATAGAATAAAATAACTCTGAATCTGAAATAAAATATAATATGTCTCAACACAACAGTCAAACGAAATCTCACTAAGGCACTCAGCCTCTACAAAATAGAATCACAATCTCTAGGGTCTGAAAATAAGCAACTAAATGTGGAGCTCTAAAATAACTAAACCTATAAATAACTAGATGGAATCTAAGATGCAATCCTATCAACCTGCGACTCTCTTTAAAATCCTAAAAATTTGAATATTATGTGAAAAATAAAATAAATATGCTATA